ATATATATATATGCATATGCATATATATATATATTTGTATATATGTATATATATATATGTATATATATATACACATGGCACGCACCCGCCCCCTGCCGCCACTGCCCCCCCATTTCTCTGTACATCGGCCGCTGGTGTCGGGATGTTTGACGAACAAATGACCGACACGGGTCACTCCGGAGGGGAAGGAGACCAAGATTCTAAATACCGGTATTCAGATTTGGGAATGAATTTTGAGTGGGGACCTCTTGGTGGACATGAGAATTCGGTGGGAGGTGGATTTTCAATGAAATTCATAGCCATTCCTAAATTCTGGAATTTAGACCCAGGATCCAACATCCAAGATTGGTGGGGAAGTTGTGGGAGCAATCTTGGATCCATGAGTGATGCTCCTGAAATCTAGTCACCGGTATTCAAATACCGTCACAAAGCCCCCGGCACTCTTGGATCTAGGGTTGGATTAAATCAGTTTTTTAGGGAATCCCAAAAGTCCTAAACTTCCCAGGCACACGTTTTATTTTCAAATAACCCAGACGCTCAAATTCGATCAATTTATGGCCCTCCAAACAGCCAGGTGTTAAGACCCCCAAACAATCCCGGGCTGTCTAATGGAGGGCTCGGGTCTTCCATGGAAAGCTCCAGGAGCCTCTGGGAATTAAAAAAGACTGGCCAGAGTGCGGCTGTAGATGGCCATCATAGCGATGAGCACCGCCACCACGATCAGCGATCCCTCAGTGCGCTTGTGTGTATAATACGTCACTACGTCCTTTAGAATATCCTTCTTGGGGTTGCTCAAAGGGACGCCAAAAGAGAAAACACAATTCTTGGGGTCCCTCTATTTTTACACATACCCACATGCGCTCTCAGGTGTGGCAGTTGCATGATCTGGTAATAATATCTGCATGTATTCAGCTTTTTGCCCATCTGCCATTGAGTGCGCAGGGCGGGCTATCGGTTCTGCAAGTTGCTGCGGTTGTTTGCAAAAATAAAATGGCAAAAGGTGGGCCTGTATCGGTTCTGCTGGCATTGCTGTTTTCGCAAAACAAGGATTGAAAAGACCAAAGTACCATTGGTAGCGTCAAGCTCGAGCATCGCAGCTCAGTGCAAATGCTCGAAGACAAAATCAACCTTCTCACTTCCCGCCAAACTGTTCATTTACCACTAAAATGGTCTTCCCAATAAGGTATAAAGTGCAGGACCTCAGGAAGTGAGCTTTGGCAGCTCCAGCTCGAACATCGCAACGCTGCATGAGTGTGCTATGAGTCATGACATGGACCGAAGGTCAAAAGGTCGGCTTTGAACAGCCGTGCGGTACCAAACATAGGTGGACTTTTGGAAAAATAGATGGCCCTGGTAAATGGAATAAACCCCATCCAAATCAGGGCCCTCTATTTTTAAGCAAACCAACCAAAAAGGACACCTATGGTACCAAGCGTTGACCCAATTGGGAGAATCCAATCACGGGTTGATACGTTGAGTCAGGACATACCCCCGTTCGCGTGGAGAAAATTCCCGGCCTTGCCCCCTCCCTGTGCATGGAACAGACCCAAGTTCGAGGGGGACGTGTTTTTTTTTTGACGGGGCCCCGCAAAATGGGTGGGTTGTCCTTGTGGCTTCCCTTGACCACCAAACAAGGGGGTGCCCTCAAAAAATGACACACTCATTCCAACAACATTTTGTCCATTCCCCCTTGGCCACTCACAGAAAGAGGACATGTTCACCCAACCGGCGAATGGTCACTTTGAAGGGGGGTTGCAGAAAATGCAATGGCCCTGTGTGAAAACTCAGCTTGGCTTCCATCACGGGACCTCTTAAGCTTGGCTTCCATCACTCCCGGACCTGTTCACTTCAAGGTTCTTGCATTTCGTATAGCTGATCCCCAACCCCAATTGAAAAAAAAGTAGAGGGACCCCCCTCAATACGCTGCTTCTCTGCCAAGGGAAAATGTATCGGCACCTGCACTCATCAACCAGGGGCTTCTGGATTCGTCAAAATGGTGTGACCTGGCAGCTACAATGCCGCTCTTTCAGCTGAGACGCGATGATCGCCCAGTCCATGGGGTATAACAGGACCTGCCCAGACGCAGCTTTGGCCGTTGTCGTTGTCGTCGCTTCCCGCGACAGCGGAAAAGCTAGTTGCTGCCGATCCTCGCGCAAAAAAGCGGGAGCCCGGCTTTTACCTGGAGGGTCCCACTAGCCTCCCCCAGACTATTCCATGGAAGCTCCCAGGACCCCTTGCAAGACTTATTTGGCTGTGGGTCAAAACGCTGTACCCCTGGTGAACATCAAAATAGGTGGCAAATGAATGTTCATCCACCCCAAAATGGAGCCATAGGTTGTACCCCATGGCCATTTCCACTTACAGGGGCCTTTTGAAAGCATCCATGATAGTCTGAGCGAGTGCAACTTTCGCCTGGAGGTGTCCATGGAGAAGTCGAGTTGAGGTTTCAAGCCCTTCCTGAGACAAAACTCAAAGGGAAATAGAACAACATCGGGTCCCGATTTTATGTGAAGTTGCAGTTTTCATCACCCATTCAAAAGGTCCACCCAAATCCAAGGACAAGTCGAAGGGCGTATCTCCGGAGATCGAGTTTGGCCAGGACTCTCCGAGCCAGTGGCCCACGGCTCCCCGAGAAACCGAGTTGGTTGTTGGTAGTTTTAAGCGCCTGCGCGACAAAAAAAAATCCTTCGATATCTAGGAAAAGCCAAGTTAAAGACGAGAACCAGGAAATTCATGGAGAAATCTCCAGGTCATGATGACTCGGAGCGAGTTGGCAAGTTGCCTCTGAATCAGCACATGGCTTTGGCTCATAGGGGACAAAGCCACAAAGTTGTAGTTCTCCTTTTCGTTTGCCTTTGACACCACACCGAAAAGGGCACCAACTCAAAATACCAAAATACTTTAGATAGACACAACCCACTTCGCATCAGTTCGTAGGTGGCTTCTCCCAGTATTACAGAGCTTCAGCAAGTTAGCAAGCACCCACGGTATGAACTGGATGCCTATACCTCTCGGATCGGATTTTTCATGGCAATTCCCAGATGGTTTGCCTTTGAACGCATGAGGCGACCCAAAAATGAGGCAAGCCAGTTTGGGTTTGTGCCATTTTTAAGGAACATGTGAAAAAGAGCATGGAAATCACCCCCCAGCCCATTCCCAGGAAAGACCCATTCTCCGAACTATTGCAATTTGTCTCAAAATAAAGGGACCCCCCCCAAAAAAAAAAAAAACAATAATGATCTGCTTGTCTTGCTCCTCTTGGAAACAAACAAAGGAATCCTCTAGTTGTTCCAAGTCATAGTGTACCCTGAATGAAGGTACATCCCAAATGAACATGGAGCTCAAACACCCAGGGTTCCATGTGAGCGGCAGGTATTTGCTGCATAGTTGGTCGGGTGTCCCCTCGTTCCCGAACCTGAATTGTTTTGGACTCATTGACCTCGTTTCCCAACGCCGCAGGTGTTTCCGATTTCCACAAGCGAATGGCCCTTCGTTTTGGTGGTACTGTGGGTGGACCAAACCCTGCACCACTTGAGATACTTGCAACCCTACGAAAAAATGACGTACTAACTGGTGCATCATTGTGTCCATCCACAGTACCTCGTGTTGCTCCTACTTCAGTATGCTGCCGAAAACATGCTTTCGCGGTCTTTGTTGTAGTCTTACGTAATAAAGGCAGTCGCTCGTGCCAATGTGCAAACAGGTCATCCTGCACAGGGGGATCGAACCCTACCCCAAAATTAGAATCAGGTTGCAGGTTCTTCTAGCTACTCTACATATGAGCCGATCCATATCGCCGATCGGGGCCCGAAGTTCTCTTAGAACCCCTTTCCGCCAACCCCTCAAGTCTTCCCTTACCGCCTTAGAACCTCTCAGACCCTTTAGAGAACCCCCCCGCAACCGCGCATGAGTGGATGTCTGGAATTCAGCAAAGACAAAGCTTCATGAAACACTCCCCACCTCCCCACCCCCCAACCCTCCACAGAACCCCCCAACCCCCCCCCCAACCCCCTCCCCCCAACCCCCCCCCAACCCCCAACCCCCCCAACCCCCCCCCAAACCCCCCCAACCCCCCCCAAATCCGCGGCTCCGAGGCGTCAAGGAGTTGGACCAAGGTGGTGTCGTTCAGCTCCTAGGACTCGATATGGGGAACTGGAAGCGCCAGGGGAGGCATGCGCCCTGGTTTTTTTCAAATGGGGAAAGCGGGGGGTAGAGGCAATTTCGAGGTCCACATTTTTCGGGGTGAGAATGAGGCTGCCCACACTCTTTTTTTTTCTTTTCTGGATTTTAGTGCAACCCTCCCAACCAAGAAAGGGGTGAGAGAGGGCGCTGGGGGACCTGGCTAAGGTGCTGAGGCATTGACTGAAATTGTCCAAGAGAAGCACCCCAAAAGGTGATTTAGACGATTTTTGCGGGAGGGTGGGGGTGTTTCACCCCAATTCAAGGTTCGCCTGGTTGGCACTACCCATATGCAGCTCTGAAAAAGCTCGAAGCTCCACAGGGGTTACGATTCGAGCCATAGGGCCAGGTTCAATGCCGCTCAACTTGGGGTTTTTGACACCCCCCCCCGCCCCCCACAATCTTCACAATGCCCGCTAATCTCGGCATCTGGTGGAGGAACCCCCGTCAGCCTGCCAACGTGGCAAGGGCTTTTGCACATCCCTGGACTATACATCTTGATGCGACGTGTTCAAAACTGCTCTTGAAATCCGCCTTGATCAGGCGACGAGCAGGAATAACTTAACAGGACATATGGCGGCTCTCTCAAGCACCTAATTTCAGAGGATTGGTTTTTGAGCACACCGAACGGCGAGTCGGCGAGTCACCAAATCTCCAGGATGGGCGGCAGGCCGGCCTGATGCCACAAAACCATGCGGAGGGCGTCTTCATGTGTCCTCGAATTCAGGCTGCTGGCAACCAATCCCATCTTTCCCTCGGGAAACACGACGACTCTCACTTGCCGACAGCCATCTGCACCAAGCAATAGGCAATCTGGATGATTAGATCACGCCCACATCCAGCTTCTCTTGCAGGTCGACCGCACGACGATCCTTGGGATAGGTGCAGTGCGCCAGGCAGTAGAACAAGAAGCACATCGAGAAGGACACCAGGGAGACCCAGAACACACCTGGCTATGGGTCAAAACCCAAATCGTACCCCCAGTTTTCACATCCAAATCCCCACTCAAGTAGACTAAAATGGGTGGTGTACCAACCCCAAATGGTACCATTGGTGTTGACCCACGGCCACCTGACGCCAGGCTGTGGGCGTCCTGGGGCGAGCACGCCTTCTGGTTGGCGCTCTCCGCATCAAAGCCGAAGACCTTGTCCGTGAGCCAGCCCACTGCTGGCTGGCCAAAGGCGCCGATAGTACCTTCAATGCACCGGTCCAGCGCATAAATATAGCTGTAGCTCTTGGCCGGCACCACGTCGCTGAACATCTTGTTGTTCATGACCATGTTCCAGGCGATGAGGATGCCGGTGATCAGGAAGGCCGCGCAGTAGAAGCCAAACAGCCCGGGGGTGCCGATATCCATGTCACCCAGCCCGAAGAGGATGAAGGCGAAGAGCGGGATGGACATGCCCACCGAGAACTGGCAGATCGTCGGAGGCCCATGATCTGGGCAGCGCCTGAAGACCATGTCCAGCAAGAAGCCCCCGATGATGCTGGAAAAGGCAGTGCCAATATTGAAGAAGGCATAGATCGTCGCGGCCTGCTGGTTGGAGAAACCTTACTGGTTCATCCATCCCTTAGTGAAACCTGTGGTATCAGCAAACAAAACACAAGGGTTTTAGTGGTTGAACCGCCGAGAAACAGTTCAGCTCCAGCCACATGGTCAAATAGCTGAAGGCGAACCAGGGCGCGGTGCCGAAGACCCCCTGGCCGATAATTACCAAGAAGGTGGGCACGCAAAAGATCTTGCCAAGCCTTGGAGTCTCCTGGACGATGATCTCCAGCATTGTGCGTTCATCCCTCTCCTTGCTCTCCTTCACAAAGATGCCTACTGCGACCTTGGTTCGACCATCTACGATTGAATCTTTACCAGCATCCACAGGGCAAAGGCAGAAGATTATAGCAAAAATCCGCGCCAAGGGAACCTCCATAGCACATCATACAGTACAGACATTACGGACACATCCACAAAACATAATAAGACGGAATGTTCAAATTTTGACCCAGCGACTCCGACAAATGCGCTTAGGATGGCAATCACAATCAGCGCGAATTGCCAGCCCGCGATGCTGCCCACCTGCGTGCTGGCCACGGTGGTGGTGAAGGCGGTGAAGGCGGTCTGGCCCAGCTGGCCCGTGAACATCAAGCACCCGAAGGCCTGGGAACTTGGGTTGGGCTCATCAGGCGTGTCTCAAATTACTGTCTTCCATTTGCTTAAGCCTGCTGGAAAAAACAAAAATATGTCCAGTAGTGATAGATTCCCTTTAAAACCAAGAGGGACACTCATAAAAAGTAGTCTTAAGCAAATACAAGCTGTGGACAAAGTGGTGCACCAGTTGGAAGGCGGCTTCTCCAGGCTTCCCCCATCTTTGAGGGCTCGTTGGCAAAAAAACCGCTCCCAGTGGTTGGCTTCCGCTTCTTTTTGACCCCGGTAGGCCTTGCCGCGTCCGTAAGTGCCGCTCTTGTCCGCCACCAGGCTGAAGAGCAGTGGCTGGACGATTCCAAGGCCAATGCCGTTCACAGCCCGGAAGAGGGTCATGCAAAGCAAATCCTCCGGACAGGCCGCAACCATCAGGCACCCCATCGTGTTGGATTGCTTCAGTCCGTTTTAGTTTGCTTTCACGGCCATGCGCGTGGTTCCCTGAAAGAAAGCCTGATCATTGTTGTCTGAACTCTCTACAGGTTTTGGGTGTGTCTTTTGTTTTGAGGGGGGTCATAACCATGTCTAACCACCCAAAGAAGGTACTGAACAAACGTACACACATACACATACACGTACATGTACACGTGCACATGCACATGCGTACATAGATAGATTTAATAACATATATATATATATATATAGAGGACTCATATAAAAAAACTAACATACCTATATTTATATATCATATATTATATACATATTATCTATATGTATATATATGTATGTATTATAGTATAATAATAAAATATACATATATATATATATATCATATTCACACACACACACAGAAATACGTCGGGCTCCGGCGAGAAGGCGCAGCCGATGAGCCCCGCCGCCCAGATGACAGAGCCGGCCAAGATGAGCTGGGGTCTCGGGAGGCGGTCCGCCAGGAAGCCCGCGGGCAGGGCAAAGAGGGACTCGAAGATGCCCCGCACCAGTCCCAAATTGCTGAGGTCACCTCTCTTTTTGTTTTGGCTGAGGGGGGTGAGGGGGAGGGGAGGGAGCCTCTCTCTCTCTCTCTCTCTCTCTCTCTATTTTCTTGCTGCGACAGGGAGTGACGGGTTTTGGGAATTCTCTCTTTGATGGGCGCTGGGAAGGGAGGGGGGGGGAGGGGAGAGAGCGGAGGGTGAGGGAGCCGTATTTTGCCGAAAATAAGGCCTCCCTCCCAGCCCCCATTACTCTTCTTTCTTCTTGCTCCCAGGAAATGGACACTCTGCAGATTGACATGGACACTTTCCTAATTGGAAACCCTAAAACCCCCACGCATTTGTAGAGGAATCTCCTGGACGCTCTTTTGGGTTCCATGTTCATTTGCAGGCCACTTCTCGCTCTTGCCGGCGATCCTTCTTTCCCGAATCAAGTCAAAGAATGGTCGAACAGAATGCGGAAAGAGCCCTATGGGTTCGACCCCTCACCTGGTGAGAGGTTGAAGTGTCTGGCGATCTCGGTGTACACCGCTGGCAGCGCCATGTTGTCAGTGTTCCACATGATCATCACCATGTTCAGGCAGGCCATCTGGAGCAACCAGGTCCACCAGCTCTCTTGTGGCTGCAAATCGGCATCGGCATCGGACTGGTCAGCTGACTTGTGGCTGACGGCAACCGGCTGGCTCGCCATGGGATTAATGCTAGGGCAATCAAAAGGTCTGTGAGCCAAGAAATCGCTACGCCAAGCCCCGCCTTGGACTTCCGTGGCTTTGGGGAGCTTCCTCCAAGCTCCAAGCTCCCAGCCTCGTGTTGGGTCCTCTTTGCCTCTTCTTGCCGTAAGGGCGCCCTTTGGGTTTCTTTGCCCCTGGCAATCAAACTAACCGATCAAAAGGACACCTAAGGGTGAGATCACTGAAGAACTGGAAGAGGCTGAGATCCACTGACCGGGCTCGCTGGCAAAGCACTTCGAAACACCGGACAGCCCTGGATCACCTTCCCGTGTGGCTCTTCGGCCCCGAAGGCTCGATCGAAATCCACTTCGCACCGCCTCAGAAAGCCTGGAAGGATGATTCCCCTGCAAACACAAGTACCAACCAACAGTGGTTTCCCCATGGGTTCAAAGTGGCGCGAACGAATTTCGCCCATCGACAGGTTCTTGTAGCTGCAGTGGAAAGGCCGATAAGCGTCCAAAACAAAATCGCTCTCTCAGGGGCCTGGGTCACCTATTCGACCAAATAGCAAGAACCTTCTGACACCCTGGACTTTGCGCGGGAATTATTTTACAGGGACCTTCTGTAAACGAGCCGTATTTCTCACAAGAAAAGACTGGCCGGTGCTCAGAAGGGACGTCGCTTCAGCGGTTTCGGGGGGCTCACCTTGAATGCTTGAGGGAAACCTCCAGGCGTGTGAGAACCGGCCACAAGAGGAGATTGTCATGAAAACCAGACCAGCCTGTCCATAGCGGTCAAACTTGGCTTCGTCCCCTGGTCTTCGGAAAAAGATCTCGTGAGTTCCCCAGGCCATAGGCCTATTTTCCAGCGGTTCTTTCTGGGTAACCTTGGTTGACGTTGGAAGGGGAGCAAAACGTTGAATGTTAGAAGTTAAGTGGGGATTTCCCACTAAACCACAATAAGCAAAAATGTAAAATGTTTACAACCATGTAACCCCATCCGTTCTTTTCAAATGCAACTGCCAACCCTGAAGCCGCCGCCGGCTTAAGCCTTTTCACTTGTCGGATCAAAACCTTTCAGCCTTTCAGGCGCGCGACCAGACCATTTGCAGGTTCCCTCTAAAATGGACATACCTATACATCAACCACTTGCTTCAGCGAAGTAACTGGTCAGTAATTTAGGTAAACCCGACTTATACTGTAGCGTAGTCCAATCCTGAGTTGCTGAACCACTTGCTAACTTGGCTGAACGCCCTACCCTCGTTCGGGCAAATCACAGAATTGAGCAGGAGGGTTGTGGAAAACGACCATAATCTTCAACGGTCTCCACTTCAATGTTCGAACAAAACGACCTGGTCCACGGTTTGCTCAGAACCTCTAAACAATCTGGGCAAATGACTCAATTCCCCAGTGGAAAATCGGAAGCCAAAGTGAGAAACCTTCAGTGACTTTGCCCAGAACGCTGGTGACAAATAAAGGGTTTCCGTACTGATGCCATCAGATAGAGAAGTCAGTGCAGCCGAAAACCGTGACCATTCGAGACTAGTGACATTCTGAGCCGGGGCCACCAAACAATTGGCCGCAACCAACCCCATGGCTGCTCTGAATCAGTATTGGAACACCCCTCAGTGCTACGCAAAAAAATGATATTTGCAGATTTCGTTCCATATTTAGTCAACTGAATTATGCAAGTTGAACCAACATTGAACCATTTAATTTGAAGTTGTAAAATTATGGTTTCGACTCCCTCTAACTGTCCTATGTTCAAATCTAGAAGTTGTATGCTTCTTTTCTTTTTTTCCTTAACCGGGAAATTGAGGCACACTACCTGTCACCTCTCACTCACTCGGCACTCGGCACTCGACCCCGCGAGTGGCAAGGCTTCGAGGCCCCGACCGAGAGGATGACCTCTCGGAGATTGCTCTGAATCCTGGGGGCAAAAATGCAACTGGAAAACCGTCCGAGCTCCTTCACGGTAATTTCCCGCGTACGTTACCATGCTTCCAGTGCATGTTCTGCCTGCCACCTGTTTTGCCATCTGCTGACAAAAACCTCACAACTGCACAAGAATCTACATCTCGGACCCAAACATCAGTGCTGATTGGCTCCGAGGGGTCCCGTATCAGGTTGTTGCGCAACATTTAGGAACTGTTGCGCAAACAATCCAGCGGACGAAATACCAAAAATAAACAAGACATTCTAGTGGTAGTTGGCCTGATGTCTCACCATCTAGCGTGTGCCCCTGACAGTTATCCTCAGAAGCAAGCCCCATCCTTCAAAGGCACCTCTTCCTTTTGGCGGCTTGGCTGAACATCTCCAGGCTATTCCCCCAAACAACACCCATCAAATCAGCACCCACACCAACTCCACACCTCGGCCGCACCCCCAGCTCGCCAGCTCCCCAGCTCCCCAGCTCCCCAGCTCCCCACCCGCTTGGTTCCGGCCACTTACCCCCCGGCCACCTACCCCCCCTCCTGGCTGCATCGAACCCCCGGTGTCCTTTTTGGCTGCTTTGGTAGAAACTAGATGGCGATTCCTGCTTGACCGTGTTGGTGTTCGAGAAAAGAGCCCCTCTTTGGGGTCCCTCTTTGAGAAATCGCCAGAAAAACAATAACTAGGTCCTCCAGTAGAGAGGCTAGAATAAGGGTACCAACTTTTTTCTGTAGCCTATTTTGGTAGGGTCCCGAACCCTCCCCCAAAAAAGAAACGGTAAAAGAAACGGCACCAATTGCTGGAAAACCTAGATAAGCCTAGGCGAAAACTTTTCGGCCTCGCTCCAAGGCGCTGCTCCACCGTCTGCGTCTGCTTCCCCAGCGCCGCATCGCGCCGCGACAGGCCCAGCTGGATGCGGCCGTTGGCCTCCTCCACTACCTCCGTTGGGGTCGGGGCGCGTGCGTATGCGGGCGCGGGGCGCGCTCGCAAGCTTCGCGTTCGTTTGGGGGAAGCCAAGGGAATCGTCTGGTGATGCGTGGGGTTGTATCCAGATTCGAGTTGATTTGTGGTCCGATGCCTGCGAATCGCGCCCCTGATATGAACCAAACCACCCACTTGGCATATCGGTTTGGGGCACTGCTCACCTAAGGCCAAAAGGTACTCCAGCCCATCTAAGTGGGTTGTATCTATATATATATATGTAGGGGAAATACTAAGGAGACTTATGAAACCGGGGGTATTCACCACTTACTGGTTGAGGTCGGTTTTGAAGGGAAACCAAGTTCAAACATAATGGGCAAACATATTTACTAGGCTACTCCTATTATAACTGATATGTCGATACTATCAAGCCCCGTTTCTTGCATTAAAGCTTATACCTGGATCGCCAGTTGCCTTGGTTGACGGTGGAAGGGGAGCAAACAATTAAATTCTAGCAGTTCAGTGGGGATTTCCCACTAAACCACAATAAGCAAAAATGTAAAATGTTTCCCAACAACAACCCTGTTGCGATCGCTTTTTTCCTTTACCCCAAAAACCAGCAACAGTGACTGAGCAAAAAACAAAAACGCACCTTAGCCATCCGGGGGACCCCCCCCCGTTTCCAGGATCCCAGCACCTGGGGTTTTAGAACCCGAGAACCCGACTGGGTCAACGATCTGAACGATCTGGCCGACTAAAATGGGCTCACGAACACAACAAAAAGGCGAACTAGGAAATCAACGGCGCTCACTCATGGATCAACTCAGGAGAGAGAGATAACTCAGGAGAAATTGAACCTCCTCCAAAACCATTGAACATTGGGGATGCTCAGCACCTACCTGACGTGTGAAGCAACGTAAGGTTTACTACAACTACCCGCCTTTTTTCGGGGGTATGATGTCAGCCCCTGAGTCATCCTGTTGAGGCGAACTGGCTGGAGCCGTTGTTTTGTGGTCAAATAGGTACCCAATCCCTGCTCCTTCGCTGCCCGAAAACCAGCCAAACTAAATGGTTTCCCCATTGGGCTTGTCTCATTTTTCCCCTTTTTTGGAGAACCCTTTTTGGTCTCCCCCAAAAACAACCTCCCCACCCCGTTAAGGGGGTCCCCTCGCATTTGCAGACCTCCCCCCGCATTTTCGGGCCCCAAGGGGGTGGGGATAAAACAACCTTTGGGCGGGCACCAACACATTTGCTTGGTTCTTCTTGCGCGAAACCAAAGCACTTATGGTAATTCGAATAGGGAAAACCCCACCGTTTTGGGGGAGACGCCTCCCCTAAAACAACATAACCAACCTCTCCACCGGGCCTGTGCGAGCTGCGCCGCCCGCCCGGACGCCGAGGCCGCCGTCACCCTCAGCCAAGGCCGGAGCCAGGCGCTTGGGGCTTCCGGAAACCAAGGGGGCGGCTCGCTTGGCGGGAAATGATCCACTAAGGGGGTGCAAGGGGGCGGGCTCGTTGTCCCTTTTTGGGGGGAAATGATCCGAAATGGTTTTGGGGTACTTTGCGGGGCTCGCGGGGCCCCATGAACCTCTTGGAGGTTGGTTGTCCTCTGTGTTGGCGGCGCCCTTTGCAGGAAATGATCCTGATTGAGGGGTTTCTGTGCCTGATTCATCCAAAGTTGGCATTACCCTGCCTCACATGCCGGACACGCCCAGGAGTGCGGTCAAAAATGCTTCCGTTTTTTGGGGTAGCGGCAGTCGGTTTGCTCAGGCTTTCCAATGGGTTTCCACATATCTCGCGAGCGTTTCCCACCCTTTTGCGGTTTTTGTCCATGCCAATGGGGGGAGGGGGGGGGGGGGGGTCGGGGGGCGGGTCTTCTGAATTTGCCGGTTTTTCCAGTAGCCCCTCCAGGCCCGATTGTTGTGTTTGTTCTGTTTCTTTGATGCTGCCAGGGGTTTTCCATGTTTGCTCAGCTCCAAAGACCTTTCACCAAAACCAATTTTGAGAAACACCCATATGAGGCACAGTCCAAGTTCGACGGAAAACCCTCTGTGGACACAGATAAGACCATCAGAATTCCACGGTGCTCCTCTTGAGTCTTTTTCTCCCCCGCTTGGCCGCATGGCCTACCCTTTTTCTACCTCCGCTGTTGGCCAGCCTGGATTTGGTTCTCCATACTTAGAGAAAACAAATTTCTAGGTCCTCCAGTAGAGAGGTTAGAATAAGGGTACCAACTTTTTCCCCAACAGCTGAAAGCTTTGGGGTCTTAGCCCAGATAGGCTCCGGGGTGGTCCGGGGCGGCCCTGAGGTAAGGTTCCACCAGGGTTCCACGAGGTTCTGCGGGGTGGTGCGAGCACTAAAAAGAGCACCGCATGCTGTTGGGGATATCACCTGAGCTTATTTCTGTAGTCTATTTTAGTAGGGGAACCCTCCAAAAAAAAAGAAGCGGTAAAAGGGCACCTAGCTGGGGGACCAAGATTACAAGAGATTTTAGCTTGGGTTTTACTTTTTCATGATCCGACTGTCAATCTCTTTTCAGGAATAAACAGATATCCGAAGGTCGCCCTTGAGAAGAGCCCTCGTTTGCTTTGACCGCATGAATTTCCATGGGTCGGATCCTCTCTCGGCTTCCCTTGCAATTTCCGAGGTCCTCCCTGAGCGGATCATTTGCGAGCTTTTCCATCGGCCTTTTGGTGGGATTCGATTCCTTTTTCCCTCAGGTTTTCCTCTTGTTTACATAAGAGGAACACCAAAAGGACCACCAATTGAGATCCATTTTGGCTCTCCGAATTTCCTGGAGCCATGACATCGAGCCTCGCTCGGTTCTGAGTTCCCCGCGTCTTGTTCACCAACTTGCTGCCGTTGTCGGACACCCACTGGCAATCGCACGGAGACTGTGGCTCAAGTAAAAATGTACCAAAATGTCCCCAGAAAGAGACGAACACCTGCGTAACCCGAGCTGTTTAATTTTGAGCCCCAGCTTCTTTGTAGTGCTCGATTCATATTTTTGGGTGCTATGATTCATTTTTTGACAATAAGGGCACTTAGTCCCAAAAGAGGTCACTTAAGCCATTTAAAGGGCACTTAGGCCCTCAGGGTTGCCCTCCCCAGCAGATCCCTCCTCAGTCCGGGCAAATCAAGCCGCATGCGAACGACACTCCACACAAGAGGGGGCAGACGCTGGGCAAATCGAGCCGCAGCGACACGCGAATGACACTCACGCAGGGGGGACACCTTTTCAAGGGCTAAGTGACCTTGATTCGCACCCCCACTGACACTCAAATGACACGTGTTGACACTCAAAACGCCATGTTCCGCCCCAATCAAATGCGGCAGCTGTCACGCTGTGACACGGGTAGCTGATCGATTTTGACAGAATCCCAGCCCCTGCCAAGCCAAAAAGGGCACTTAGCAAACGAATCAAAGGGTCACTTAGTCCACCGACACGGCCTCAAGTGCCCTCGATTCAATAACGCGTCAAGTGCCCTTCATTGGAGGGCACTGAAAATATGCTGGCCACACCCATTTCACAAGAAAGACAGGTGGAATTGCTTGACAAAGCCCAAAGCACAGCAAAAATCCGACGGATTTCAAGACAGTGGAAATGTCCAAGAGAAAGCCCACAGTCAAATAGCTCGGATTTTGGTTGCCAGGCTTTACAGGATGGATTTCGACTATGGGAGTAGTGGGACAAGCAGTCAACTGCGCAATAAAGGCTGGGTAACCTGGCATGTTTGGCGCAGATCAGCCGGGCAGCCGTCCTGGTTTGTTGAGTTTCCAGCTCTAGTTTCTCGTCAAGGGGGTTGTTCTTTAAATTGGGAATCCTCACTTAACAATCTGCCCCCCATCACTTCAGGCGGGCGCACGTGCTTATTTATGATTGGCATTGCCCCTTCGTCCTTCACTTTTTGATATGTTTTGATGGGTGGTTGAGCTGGAATAGATCAACCAGGAAGAAAAGAAGTCGCCAATCCCGGAGCGCCGTTTGCCTAGCATTGATCAAGGGAAACATTCCGAAAGAGAACTCAAAGTTCGGCGATCTGCTGCCATCAGCCCAAAAGGTCTCAAAGAGCCTCCATTTGCGAGTACTTCCGCAGGCAAAAAAATATATATATAGATATATATATATATATATATGTTCACCCCCCCAAGATCCACATTTTACCTCTTGAAAG